TGCCACTAATGCCTCGTTTGTTTTCTGTACATTGTTCTGGACTGGTTTTTGTTTGTTTGTTTGTTTGTAGTTCCTGTTTTTTGTTTGTAGTATCCTGTAATTCCTCAAGTTTGTCTTTCATCCACTGAAGATATTCAATCATTGTTCTTTTAAATTCTGTGTCAGAAAGTTCCATCAGACTTTCCGGCTTGAGGAAATCCATTGATACTGGGTCACCCTTTGGGGTGATATCTTGCTTTGTGCTTGTGTATTGTGTGGGACAGCTTGCTTTCTTTGAGACACTGATATGTTCTCGATGAAGATAATGCTCTAGAGATCAGTTGGGTAGCTATCCCACTTGTGCTTTTCTCTGAACGTCAGACTCCAGGAAAATGTCAGTCCAGAGCCTGTGAGAGCAGCCTCTGGTAGGTAAGATAGATCAAGGTGCTCCAGATTAAAGGCAGGTTGATTAACCAGATGTGTAGACACAGGTGTGGAGCCAAATAGGGAAGGGCATGCATGTGGATGCGGCAATCACAAGGGCAGGTCAACCACTTGGGGTACCTCACTCAGGCCTCAGTTGCCTGGGTGTGCTTACAACTGGGGTCCCTATTCAAATTCCAGCTGTCCATCTCCCACCCTGTGGTTTTCATTCACTGGTCTCTGTCTAGTGATGCCCGCAAAGTTGCCTTTGCACTGTGGCCCCTGCCCAGGAAGGGTCCTGGGTCAAGGGGACTCAACAAAACAAAGTCAAATTTCCACCAACCCACTCGCCTCTGGCTGGTCTGCAGTGTCCACAAAATTCTGATAAATTATCATGGGCCTGCTCTTGCCTGGGCAGTTGGTGTGCCCTGGGAGAGCTCAGCCAAATTCCTACCAGTGGGCTCAACCTTGGGAACTCTCCCAGACAATAGGTGTTGCCCAAGAAAACCCAATTAGGATCCTACCAACCTTTCTCGTGGCAGATCAGTCCCATAGCAGCTTGACTGGTGGCTTCAGATGATGGCTATCTCCATGGTGTGCCTTTGTGTGCTGACTCAGAATCGTATTGTCCACAGCTGTTGTTGTGTTATGTGAAGGAGTCTCTAGTGGCCCTGGAGCACCGCCAGGGGGTGCAGGGTTGTGGCGAGGCCACCAGGGTGTGCCAAAAGTGTGGGGGCGAGGGATGGTGGTGGGGTGGTGTCCCTGGACACGGTGCTGTGGCAGGGATGGGGGGTGCAGGGCTTGAGCAGCGCTGGGAGTTAGGGGTTGCAGTCTGTTCCCAGATATTAAGCTGCCAAGTCACCAGTCCTCAGCAAATAAGATAAAATCAGTTTTAAAAGAAGATCTAGTTTCTGTTTTAAAATTTTTGACAACTCCCAGAACACTCCAGATGCTTAAATTGCTTAAGGAAAAAAAAATGCTCACATTTTGATACCTTGGCTCCTGCCGCCCCTTCTGCCTTAACCTGTTTTCCTTTCCCATTCAAGAAGGCACCAGTTTCATTCCTGAAGCCCCAGCACTATTTCAGTATTTCTCTGGCCTCTAGACAGAATTTCTAACCCTCTCTCCACTTTCATCACACTTAAACCATGTCTCTACTGCACCAAGCAAACCAGATTGGGGATGTGTCATAGGGTAGTGTTAGATGCTAAACAGACGTATATACTATAATATATACTAATACTATACTATACTATACTATACTATACTATACTATACTATACTATACTACACTATACTAGTTATCTGTTACATTTAACATGGTTCAGGAAAAAAGATATACAAAGAACACAAAATTCAAGATTCTATAGATTTGCTATATCAGATAAAAGATTAAAGAATAATATAATGTTTTTTAAAACGTTGTTGTTGTTTGTTGTTATGTGCCGTCCAGTCGCTTGTGATTCATAGTGGCCCTATGTACAACAGCCCTAAACCCTACTCTATCCTGAGCCAATCTCACTGCCTCTGACACACCCATCCAATTACCCCAGTCACTGACTCAATCCACCTCATAGAGGGTCTTCCCCTTCTGCATCGTCCCTCCACCCTCCCAAGCATGATGTCCCTCTCCAAGGACCGCTCGCTCCTTACAACACGTCTAAAGTATGTCAGATGAAGCCTCAGAATCCCTGCTTCCAAGGAGCAGCCTGGTTTAACCCTCTCCAGGATGAATCTGTTTGTTTTCTTGGCAGTACAGGGTTTTCAATACTCTTCTCCAGCACCACAGCTCAAAGGTATCAATTCTCCTTCTATCCTCCTTACTCATTGTCCAACTCTCTGATGCATAACAAGTGATTTCAAAGACCATCAGACGCACCGTAGTCTCCAGAGTGACACCATTGCTCTTCAGTACCCTGGAGAGGTCCCTAACAGCAGACTTTCCCATCGCAATATGGCTTTTGATTTCCTGGCTACTGGTGCTAAGAGTGTTGACCGTGGAGCCAATTTCAATCTCTTCACCATCCATACTGATGCTGCCAATTGGTCCAGTGGTGAGAATCTTTGTCTTCTTGACATTGAGCTTCAATCCATATTAAAGGCTGCAATCCTGGACCCTCTGTAGCAAGCATTTCAGGTCCTCCTCAGTTTCAGCAAGCAAGGTTGTGTCATCTGCATAACGCAGATTGTTACTAGATCTTCCATAAATCCTGACATCACAGTTCCCCTCATAGAGTCCAGCCTCTAGGATAATCTGTTATGCATAACATACAGACTTCGCAACTCTCTCAAGAATAAGCTTCTGTCTACTCTTCCTTTTTTTCCCTTCTAATATTTTTATACCCTCTCGGATAATCTGCTCTGCATACAGGTTGAAAAGATATGGAGATAGGATACATCCCTGGCGTACACCCTTCCCAATTTTGAACCATGCAGTGTTGGCCTGCTCTGTTCTAACGACTCCCTCTTGGTCCTAGTATAGGTTTCGCATTAACACGATTAAATGTTCTGGGATTCCCATTCTTCTCAGAGTCAGCCACAGTTTGTTACGA